CCCCCCCCATCTTAAACATTTTTAAATAAGAGAAATTTAGATTCCTACCTTGCAGAGGGTTGGAACTCTCAAGGGTACCCGTTTTGGAAACTTCTCCAGGGGCCGAATTTAGTTGGCTGTTTCACACGGAGGTGCAACATTCTTTGAGGAGTTCGAACCACACCACCGGCCAATCAGAAGCGCTAAGCCGAACTTAAGTGCAGTCGAGACTCGTTCTAAGTACGGTTGAAGGACCAAAAAAATTCTGCTCCAGTTCCAGAAGGGTTCGGAGAGCTCTCCGGGGAAAATTATAAAACTAAAGACGTCCGGAGAGAAATTTAGAGCTGTTCTTGAATTTTTTGAAATAAAATATCTAAAATGAGAGGAATATCACGACCTTCCTCCTCAAACTCCCTTTTTTTATTTTCTGCAGGGCGCCAAGTAGTTTTAGGGGGCTGTTTCCCCTTCTTTAGTCAGGGTGTCTACAAGTCCGAAAATAAAACTGATTTTATGAGGGCGGTCCGGAAGCACTAAAAAAGTGCGGAAATCCTGTAAAAAGGTCCGAAATTTGTTTAAATTTTTTGTCATTTTTTTCGCAATTTCAAATTTTTGAAATTTTTCTAATTTCGTCTAATGGGTACTGAAAAAGTACGGAATTTTTATGTTGGAGGAGGTACTGAATTTCTCTGGAATGTACCGAAAAAGTACTGTAAAAGTACTTATTTTTGACCAGCCTGTTTTAGTAGACACCCTGTTGTTTAGTCCATTCTCTCAAGCAGCGATATTTGGATGGCGTCACGCGGTGCAAGACTTGTGCTGCACTTAGGGCCGAATTCCCGACGAGCGTGGCGTCTTCTCATTCGTGAAGGCCCCGAAAGAACGGAAACTGAATGAACTTGCGTCAGCCACGTTGGGGTTCCGCGTTTTTCCTCGTCTGGGTCTGGGGGCCCGGGCAGACATGGAAATGAGGGAACCAGGCCGCCAAGTTCATTCATTCATCGCCCCGATATGACTCATTCTTCTGCGGCCGAGTCGAGTGACGTAGCCGAGGCTCAACTCCGCAGCCGGTGGCGGCGCCTCGCCGACGAGGTCACGTTACCGCGCCAAGTAGACCGCCAACACCGCAGAGGATCCCCGAGATGAATCCTCGGCTTGAGGTCTGTCAGCCGTGAAGCAGGAAAAAGCTCCAGTTCTCTTTCAGGGGTCATTAGCATTGCACAGTCAGTACGTGAGTACAAGCCAGTTTGCCAGGCGCATGGTGAAAAAAGAATTGTTGCCTTTCATATGATCATTGGGGATTCCAGGTCCTACCCTCTTTTCAGGGTGTCTACGTTACGGGAAAAATACGGGTTTCGAAAGGTCGGAACGAAAGTACGGGAAAGGTACGGATCTTCGGTGGAAAGGTACGGAAATTCTAGATTTTTGTGGCAAACTCTGGAAAGTAGCCTTGGGGGTAAATATGCGAATTCACAATGGGCATCGTGAGGGTGACTTCTTTCCTTTCTCCGTGCAAAAACTCTTGAATTAGGCCGTTTTTGCACTCGCGAAAGATTTCGACCATTTTCGGGGGAGTTCGGTTGGTTTTAGACCAAATCAAAGTCGTTCGGATTTATAATGTTCGAAATATCGTTGAATTTCGCAATGCACCGCCTCTTTGCCATTTTCCCATTTTCAATTTTCATTTAGGTGATCGTAGAACTTCAAAGTACAGCTTCACCACCCCTGCGCAAGGGTATTTTTTTTTAACCGGTTCCTGGAGCGAGAGGACGGAAGAGGGCGGCAGAATTCGTATGTATCAATGCCCTCTGCTAACGTGTTTCCGTACGGAGATGTATAACGACGTCTAGGACCACTGTTAATATGAGAATAGAATGAATCTCTGTGGCTAAACACCTGTCATGGCTCTTTGTGCGGTCTCGAGCACAAAAGCTGTTTCAATTAAGGTGACTCGCGGTAGCACTGTAGCAGGCGAGCGGTCGCAGCTCAATGAATGGTTCTTGCATTAATTCTTCATAAATTATCCGGCGCTTGTGTCGCTCTTTCGGATGTTCAAAGACATACTCGCTGCCTCCGTGTGTAGACAGGTACAATGATACCTAGACTTTAGAACCTAGCTCATCAGCAGCCGATTATTGAAACTGATGGACAAGGCGACAGACAAAGAAGACATAGGAAGTATGGAGCGATCCTATTGGTTGACATGGTTGGTTCTTATAGACTGAGGAAGAAAATGATGGACTAACTGTCGGGTCTTCAGTGGGTTGCCGTTAGTTAGTCTATTACCTACCTCCTATGTCCATTGCCACCACCTGCTTTCGCCAATAGGATCCCTCCAAATCCCTTTTGTCGTCTTTGTCTATAGCTTTGTCTATAAGTTTCAATAATCGGCCCGCAGCGGCGGATCCTGCAGAAGGGAGCCATGGTGGCTTAGCTCCCCTCAAATCAAACATTTCCCCCTTTTTTTTAGTAAATAATTAAATACATTTTTAATTTTCTCAAGTGCAAATGGAGGTTTTCCCTAGAATCAGCTCAACTGCTTTTTACGTTGCCTAAGTTTCTCTCAAGTTTTTTTTTTTTTTTTTTTTTTTTTTTTTTTTTTTTTTTTAACCGAGAGCTAAATTACTGAACGTCTTTGAACTCTCTATAAATTTACCCTACTTGATTAGTGAAGAATAAACTCACTAACTTTCGAGTTTTTAAAAGAAAGACTTGAAAGAAAATCAGGCAGCGTCTGACGTAGTAACGCTGGTCGCGGTGAAATTAGTTCAAATAATGGTGGATACTTACCTTTGGCGCGATGCATCTGGGGTACGATCATTAGATATCAAATTTGAAATTACGAGAGATGATTTTGAAAGTATCAAAGTCCAGTTTCTAAATGGCTATAGATCCATCAAGGAACATTCATTCCAAAAATCGTCTTTCAAAACCTTAAAATATGATCAAAAGTACTGCCTTACTATTAATCGTTTCTATTGATATCCGAAATCGCAGGGTTGTCGTTGGTTTGGAAAACCGGGAAGGTCAGGGAATTTACAGGAAAAGTCAGGGAATTTTGCGAGGTGTGTTCAGCAGAAGTGAGTGTAATTTAAAGGGGGGGGGGGGGGATCAAAGTGGAAGTTTCATTCAAATGTCAGGGAAAGTAAGGGAATCCGAAAATTTTGGAGTCGGGGAACAGCAAAAATATTCGGGGAAAAGTAAAAATAGTTGGAGAAAAGTCAGAGAATTTGAAGATCATGAAATCATGGGAACCCTAAATCTGTTAGAACAGTTCTTTCAAACCTGTTTCAGGCTTTAAAGGTTGATTCTTAGTTTGTCCATTTCTTAGTAATTGATCGATTGACCGACGCCTTGGTTTTTCAAAAAAGGTATACTGAATGACTGAAATCTACAATGCAGCCAAGAGTCGGCAATACGCGGGGCTGAAAGTTGCAGATCCACTTTTTCTGCGAAGTGAGTGCGTAAAGGGGGCGATGGGCGGGTGAATGAACTAGTAGTATTATAATCGTACATTATCGCTGCTCGATCGTATGTGGTCATGAATGAATGAATAGCGTAGTATTTCCGCGGAGTTTTTACAGTAATTCATAAATATTAAATTTATTCTGATGAATTATAAATGAAAAAAGGAGTGAATGATTTTAATTCCGCTATCATTGTCGGATCTTGTCTGATAGCATGGAAGACATGATGTTTTTTCACTACCAACTGCTGCCGCAAAAGTGAGGCAGATTATCCGGTTAGTTTTGTCGCGAATTTCTCGATATTTATCAACTCTGTGTCGTATCTAACGTCATGCACTTTCTTTGACGTTGCGCGTCCTAGACAATTGTGGGTGACC